CCCCCCATGGTCCCCTCCCCCAGCCCCCCTTCCCTGCCTCTAGTACTTAACCAGCTCGGAGTGGCTGCAGCTCCCTGCTGCATCTACCGGAGACTGCCCGAATCATCAAAGCTCTTCGAACCTTTGCCAAAGATTCAGAGAGCTTTGAATTGATTCAGACCTTTAAATTGGTCCCCTGATTTGATTCGGATTTGGAGATTCGGTCACCAAATTGGGCCGAATCTCCTCCAAATCGAATCACCACACGAAGCTTCACACAGCCCTACTGAAAGGTGGAATCACATCCCAGCCAGACATGATCCTGTTCAGAATGGCCTTTTTGTGTCATAAGTGATTCTCATTCCTGACTCTGTTTCAGCACTGCCTCTCGCTCCCTGGGTGGTCTGCAAAGCCAAAGCCGAATTGCCCGACTCCAGAGCAACACCAGGAAGTCCTTGCAGACCCCAAGTGTCCCAGGTAATCATGTTTCTCCTCAGTGCTTAGTCAGACTGGCAGGGAAGGAAGCCCCTTGGCCTGTCCCTGCTATCTTCTTAAATGGTAGTGGGCTGTAGGAGCAATCCCTGTTGTCAGATGAGCACAGAGCCTGGCATTGCTGGGTACAGGTTCCAATCAAACTCATCCACACAGTTCGAGTAGCACTTCTGTCCACACAAAGGGAAGGTTTAGAGAACAACTGTACCCCAGTGCTAACTTGGCATTATTAAAGTAGCATCAGCAAATTTGAGTTTTATGAACCACGAAAACATAAGCAGATCTTTAGGTTCCTGTTGTATCCAGGTCCCCATTTTGGGTGTGCATGTACTCATCCCCAGTGGACCAGCCATTGCTCCCAAGGGCATGCTCAATCACTAGAGTGCCAGCGTGCCTTGCAGTACTTTTGTTAGAGCAGCACTGCTAGAATCCTGATAGAACATTTTCCCTAGATCTTTCCTGCTTTGCACAGCATATGGGGAGGGGAAGAAGGAACTTTCTCTTGGCATTTTAACGAGACTAAAGACTGGCGTGAAATTAACTGGCTACAGCCAATAGAATCTACAGGGACTAGCAGACAGTGGCAGTGCCTTGGATCCATCCGGAGGGAGTAACTTCATGACTTGCTGATTGCCCAGGGGCTTCCTCTCTCTTGCTGAAACACTTGGAGGTGCTGAGTTCTCAGTAGTTCCATTGAGGAGCCTCAGGCCCTGGCTCAACTTCTACATTTGTCTTTCTGACTTGCATCTTTTCCCCCCAGAACATCCCTCCTGCAGCTTTGCCTGGAGAGGCAGCAAGACGAGCAAAAAAGAGCTGATACCAGTGAGTGGAAACGTGGTGGCAGGGCCCAGGTCCCAGGCCATGAAGCTTCTCTACTAAAGCATCCTCAGACCAGTGCTGTCAAGTGAAGAGCCAAATAAGGCCATGGACCAAACATTGAGGAAGTTGTACCCACCAGAATTGAAGCATGGATCTCCACTCATGTACAGCCTTGAATTAGTGCCTCACCTCCCAGTAACAGAGTTCTCTGAGCAAGCGGCCTATCCCTCCCCTTATCCTCTGTCCTGCATATGGTCTGCACCTGGATTGGTTACCAAAATTTGCTTTCCTGTTGCTTATGTTTGTTGATTATCAGTGGTGCAGTCCCATATGGCTAAACGCAGTGTTGTTCCAGCCTCACCTGGAGATGCAAGGTGAAACTGGAGCCTTTTCTGCAGGAGGGAAGTAGTCTCCTTACCTCAACTGAAGGAGGGAAGAATTAGGTGGGGAATCTGCCAGCAGTTTCTTCCACAACCCAGATCCCACCGGCTAGCCAGAAGGAGCAATGCACACTTCTGTTCCCTACACGTGTTTGCAGGACAGGCTCTCGGAAAGGTAAGTATCAAGTGTCCTGCCCAGGCTGCTTTCTATGGCTTGGGCAGCACATCCAGGGCCATAGAGTCTAGTCCCCTGTTATTGCAGGCAACCACATCATATAATCCCTTTCATAGAATTCTTCCCTAATCGAATATTATATATATATATTTTTTTTTATACCAGATGGATTATTGCTATTCTGTCTTAGTCCCTGTGTAATCTCCTCTGTGGTGTCGAGTGATAACAGATGGGCAATGCCTATTTTTATTAAAACTCTTAGTTTAACAAAGTGGGTGTGGATATTTCCTCTTTGCCTTTCCAAATGCAATCTAGCATGGATCTGTTGGTGTGCTCCCTGCTGCCCCTGAAACATTCCCTGTGGTTTGCAGCCAAGACTCAGGTGATGGGTTGAATCCCCAACCTGAACCCTGTAAAAGACCTTTGGGACAGGCTGAAGATGTCCCACACTGGCGCAGAAGATCACAGGCTGTGAAAACCTGAGCTGATCTCTTCCACCTGGCTTATCAAATGCTGCGGCCTCGACAGCTGAAGCCTACCCAGTTGTGTGGTGCAAGTTACACTTAAAAGTGGGCTTGAGCCTGAGGGTGGATATTCCATGTGGGCTCCTGTACTGAAAAGGGGAAGAGACAGAAAACAATTGCATCTGCCTGACGTGTCTGTGTGATGGTGGTTCAACAAGGACTAGGAACTGCTTGTCCATGTCTTCCCTGTAAACTCTGCTTTAGGTCAGCTTGGCTGGGGATTGTGTTTATCTCAAGGCACCTCCTGCTTCCTTGTCCATCTGTCCAGTTCAAAAAAGGAAGTGGGGGCATGGAATAGCCATCCCTCAATTGCCATGAAAGCAATATTTTGAGATGCCTGCTCTTTTACTTCCTGTTGGCACCAGGCCAACTCCAGCAGCAGACCTGGTTTCCTATCACTACACTCTGTGCTGCCCCAGGAGGAAAAAATTGTCCCCTAAAGCAGTCTCTGTTCCCCAATCTATAGAGCTTGAAGTCAGCACTCTGCCCAAAGCACCAACTGAGATTAAATGCCACAGCCTAGCAGAAAGCCATTGGCTTTCCTTGTGCTCCTAGTGGCTTGTATATAACACATGCACACAAACTGTATAAGCCTTTTGTACTGCAAAGTGTTCTAGTGTTATGTTGCTGTAAAATATTGTTTTAGTTTGAATATGACCAGATTTAATATGTGTTTGCTCTGCTATATCTCTTCAGTTTCTTAATCTGAAAAGAAAGGTGCCAGCACATAGGCAGAAAAACTTTTGTTAGAGACCTTTTGTCTAGAACCCACCCTTCTGTTTACTATACACAAGAAAACCTGGCTTCTCACATAAGCAGGGGGAAAGCAGACCCCTAGCCTAAGTAGCTAACTGGGCAGTGCTCTTTCTTTTCAAATTAATTGGTTAAGAGAAAAAAAAACCTAGAAGCTTGGTGACCTGTTATTACATAATTGGGATGATGTCACCCCTGGTACATAGGACAAAGAGGCTGGGGGGAACCCCAGGGAGGGCCCCAGCCAAAGAAACCGCTGTGGAAGGGAACTCCCGAAGTTTGCCTGCACTTAAATTAGGTGCACTTGGAGCTGTGCTGGGAATGTGATTTGTCTTTTTCCATTATTACACATCAATCCAATTTGGTACTCAGCTGTCCCCTTCACCAGCTGGGGCTCTCCCTGGGGTTCTCCCCAGCTCTTTCTTCTCTTCCTATGTACCTGGGGTGACATCACCCCAAGTATCAATCAGGGGTGGCCAGGCTTCTAATTTTTTTCTCAACCAATTAATTTGAAAAAAAGAACACTGCCCAGTTAGCCACTTAGGCTAAGGGTCTGATCCCCAAAAGCCAGGTTGGTTGTTTAAAGTAAACACCAGAAAGTTTCTAAGACAAAAGACATGAACAAAAGAGCTTTCTCTGTCTCGCATATCTGCCTAGTGCAGTTTCTCCTCAGATTAACCAAGCAGGGGAGAAGAGACAAGATACTTAAATACAGAAAACATGATTAGGGTACATGGTGTACAAATCAGACACATGCAAACAAAATAAAAAACCATAATCATATTTAAACTAAAACAAAGCACTTGGCAACATGAAAACTAGAACACACTTTGTAGTAAAAGTGGCTGGTACATTTTGCGTGGGTTTTTGGGTTGGTTTTTTTGTTTTGTTTTGTTTTTTTGGGGGGGGGTTGTGTATCCAAGGCCACATTAGCCAAAACTAATTCCAAATCCAAAAGTCTAGAACCATAAGTGGCCCTGCTACTTGAAAACATCCTCCACCTGCACCTGGGGCTTCAGATGTTTCCAAACCTTTGGCAGACATCCTACTTGCAGGCCCAGTTCTGGAGGCTTGGGGTTCAGATGCCCCTGAATTTTGCTTGTCTCTAGCCATAAGACACTCAGAGCAAGCTGTGTGGGTTGCACTTGGATATCCCTAGTATCTGCTCTACTTCCATTTGCCTCGGTCCTCATGTGACCTGATATTTAACACTTGTAGACCCTACCTGCTCAGCTCAGCCTGTCAGAAGTGCCACATACCCCATGCCTTTTCAGTTTGTAGTTCCCTTCACAAAACTTCCAAGCTGCTTTACTTCTCCCCAGTAAATAGATTATTATTACCTGGTGCTGCCAAACCAAGGCAAGCTCCACTGCTTAGTGGCTGCTTGATGCGACAGACATGGAGGAAACCTGGCCACCTGACAGTGTTGTTGGTGCAAGAGCCTGTCACAAAGCTGAGCCGCATGGCAGTACCTTTCTCCTGAATGGTCTAGGCAGAAGTTAGGGTCTCCACTTGAAAGCCCACAGTCACGGTCTGAGGAGAGGGCTCCAATCTGCTCTTTCTGCACCTGCATCCCAGCCAGCTAGTGGGAGTCTTGAGTAAAACAGACCATAATCATCTGCCCGTCTCTTGTGAGCCCTGGCTGGCTGGTAAAGAAAAACTGGAATCCTTGAGGAAGCTGCTATTTTTAGTCTGGGGGCTGTTTTCCTGGGCTAAGTCTGTGCATGTAGGGAGGGGCTGGGGTCATGTCCCTTGCAGAGCCTGCCATTGCACTTCTAGCCTGGGCTGCAACCTCCCTGCTCTCCCAGCCTGCACATCAGCCCTGAGCTGCCCATGCTTTGGGCCATCTGCATAGCTGCCAGTCTAGCTGTCACCTCAGCTATGCCTATTCACCTTCATACTGGCCTTGGGTCCCCATTGCTATGCTATCCAAGGGTCTAACCAGAGCTCTGCCAGTGCATCTCAGAACCAGTCTTGAGTAGTTTTTCTGCCTCTCCTGTGAGGATGCTGATACCTACATGAGCCTCTCCAGGGCCCTGTCTTTTGCTACTACTTAAGTGCTAGCACAAGGGACTCTTAGGCACTTAGCCATGTGCAGGTTTACCATAAGTCTGGGCTTTCCCAGACATGTCCTCTTTTTGTATCCTCCCACCTCTGTCTGGGTGGGTTTTTGAAATCTGAACAAATGTCTGGGATTTTGCTCCGCTCCACTGGTGGGAGTGTGAAGAAGAAGATGAGTGATTGGAGGCAGGGAGCGCTCATGCATCTACATCCCTTCAGAGGCAATGGGAAGCTGCGGGGCCGGGGTAGTGACACTGTGGGCTGGTGTCCGTGCTTGCGACACCTAGGAGACGCTGCCTGGGGAGTGAGCATGGCCAGGCTGCCTGGCACAGTGCAGGAGCCCCAGCACAGGGCGGAGGATGCTACAAGCGTCCCCTCCTCCCTCCAGCCTGAGCCGGAGCCACCAAAGCTGCCACATTCCAGCCCAGTCAGGATGAGAGCAGCTGGGAGCCCTTTCCAGCAGGGCTGGGGAGAGCAAGGGGCTGCAGGTTGGGAGCAAGGTGTACTGGCAGGGCTGGAGGGGGTTGTGGGTGGAATGAGGGACAGCGGGGAGCTGTGGGTCAGAAGTGTGGGACACCGAGCACCAGGGGGCTGTGGGTTGGGAGTGAGGGGCATTGGGAGGGTTAGGGGGCTGTGGGTTGGGAGTGATGTGTCCACCCGATAGGTGTCCTCTTTTCTGGAACTGGAAATATGGTAACCCTACCGATATGGGTTCTCAGAAGCCTCTGGTACTGGGACATGTCGAGGTGACGCAGCTCCTTGTTCAGTGGAGATGACTTTCTTACAGAAAAGTTTGAAGCTAGGCAAACTCCCCAGTGGAAGACGTGCGAAAAGGTCACAACCCAGTGAAGGGGCTACAGGAGAAACACAAGGATATTAAACATGGCGATCTACTTAGTATGACTACCCCAGGCTGATTCCTCAATTAGCTATCCCCTTGGCTCCTGGCACAGCCCTTTCTGACAGCCTGGTGCCTGCCTCTCAGCCCTGGGTTTACTTGCAGATCCACTGCTTCTGAGCTCTTCGCTCTGGGGAGTGGGGTTACAGACTTCTGACCTAGTTATCTTAGCCCCTTTCTACCATGAAGCCAGAGAGCTGAATCGCAGAGGCAGATGCTCACGTGCGTGCAACTTTGTATTGGAGTCTGGCAGATCATAATTAAAACTTCCAGCTTCTAAGTTAGTTTCTCTCATTAAAAGGAAGATTGGAGAAGGGGGAGAGCCCAGCTTTGCCTCCCTGCAGCTGGAGTGACTGGCATTTCTCACAAGAGACGTTAACACTTTGATCCTGTCTGCGTGGGAGCTGGGAAAAAAAACAAATATCTGGGGAGATTAGCTGAGACTTCTGGTTCACCCCAAAGACCTTCCCTTCCCACCCTCCATCCACTCCTGCTACTGCTCTCTCTCCCACTGTTCTTCCCACTTGCACAAAAAGCCACTGACTTGAAGATAACAAGCTTGTGGAGCAAAGCAGACAGACGTGGCTCCTGGCTGGCATGCTGCCTTCCCTCCTTGGCAAGGTGAGATAGACAAGCAATTAAAAAGACTTATAGTGGGTCAGAACAGCCTGCTTATAAGGAGTGGGATGCTGCTTAGGACTGCCAGCCTGGGAATGGGGCTGCAAGTGTGGCCAGATGCTGCAGCCCCTTCTCACCTGTGCTTGGCATTAAGGAAGGAGCTGTGTGGTCTGGGATCTGGTTTGTAACACTCAAGCTACCGGAGGAGCAAAGCTAGAGCAACTCACCTGGTGTGGTGCTGTGGAAGGCAGGGGGTGAACTAAGCAGAGCAAAGAGATGTATTCTCATTGTCACTGGCCCTGCATGACTCAGGGCTGGTCACAGTATTATTTTGCAGCTATGGTTTGCAAATGGCCTTTGGCTGATGTCTCTGTTCTGTGAAATAGGATAGCTTGTGACCCTGCCCCCAGACCATTT